GTGGGGAAGCACATGAGGTGGAGGACACCACAGGGAGGAGCTCCCGCTCGAGACTTTGTTGCGATCCACTCGCAGACGGGGCGCCCAAGACTTCCTCCACCTTCTGGCCTCAGGGGCTCAGCATTGACGACGCTTACAGGTGTCAGGATGACCCGCGCGGAGTGAACACATCACGAGGGAACGCCAAAGGGAGGACCTCGTGCGCGAGCGAGCCTTGTCACCCGCCCCACACGAGGCTCCCGCTCCTGACTTCCCCCCCCGAGGAGCTTCAGCAGCGACGACATTTGTATACAGTGCTCAGGGTGATCCGCGTGGACTGCGAACACCCTGGGGGGACCCCATAGGGAGGACCTCCCGCGCGAGAGATCTCCGCTATCCACAGGCAAGACTCCCGCCCGAGACTTCTCCCACTTGCACGCCCCAGAATCCCAACAGCGACGACAGTTACAGGTTTGGGGACGGCCCGCGGGGATCACTAACGTGGCGTGCGGGCCCCTATGAGGGGGGGGGGGCCTTCGAGATTTCCTTCCTTGTAGATGTCACACACGGGGCTCCCGCCCAAGACATCTTGCAGCATCATGCCTGAGAGCCCAAACGCGATCACAGCTACATGGTGTGGATGACACGCTCGGAGTCGAACCTGGAGGTGGTGACGCCATAGAGAGGGGATCCAACTCGAGTCTTCCCCGCGATTCACTCACGGACGATGCTGTCGCTCGGGACTTCGTCAGGATGGGTGTGTGAATTTGTGTGCGGGGGTGCGCGGTGATGATGATGATGTTGATGATGGTGATGCTGGTGCTAATGTCCATGATGATGATGGTGATGGTGATGATGATGCTGATGATGATGACGAGGATGATGATGCTGATGATGATGCCGCTGCTGATGATGATGACGATGAAGAAGGCGGTGGTTATGATGATTGTTGTAATAGTGGTGGTGATGACGATGGGGCTGATGCCGGTGATGTTGGTGATGATGGCGGTGATGATGTTGATGATGATGTTGATGATGACGGTGGTTGTGATGATGCTGATGTGTAGATGTGTGTATGTGTGGGTGTGTGTGTGTGGGTGTGTGGTGTGTGTGTGGTGTGTGGTGTGTGTGTGAGCGTGCGTGTGGATGTGTTGTTTTGCATATGAGCATGGGTGTGTATGTGTGTGCGTGTGCGTGTGCGCGTGTGTGTGTGTGTGTGTGTATGCGTGCGCGTGTCGGTGTGTATACGCTTGTGTGTGTGTGTTTACGTGTGTGTGGGTGTGTTTGCGTGTGCGCGCGTGTGTGCAAGGGGGGTCCTGTTCATGCTCCTGCGCGGGTGGATGGGGTGTCCAGAGGAAACAAGAATACCATTCAGGACGTGGGGAGCCAGACGGTGTTCGCGGTCTCGCCTTCTCGAGCTGAAGTCTGAGGCGGCCGGATAAGCTACCCAGGCGTACTCGAGGCAGCCCAAGGGCTAGTCTGGCCCGAGGCAGCCCAAGCGCCAGACTGGCCCGAGACAGTCCAGGATTCCAAGGGTGCGAAGATTACCCGCGTTGCGGAGACCCCGACTTGTCAAGGATGTTGCCCCAGCTAGGCCAGTGCAAGGCCTAGATTGTGTTGTCGACTTGCCGCCTGAAGGTAAAGGAATCGGGGGAGGGGGGGGCGGCGTTGTGGGGGTGGGCGGGGACGTGGGTGGAGGAATGACAGTGGCAGCTTGACGGTGTTTCATTTCCTTTTTTCATCTGATCGGCGCTTTTTTCGTGCTGAAACGCACGTTGGCGCCCGCGGCAACCAATTCAGAGACCAGAACCGCCCAGATTACGCCCTCTTTCGACCAGACATGTCACGGTCGTTGTCCTCATCGCAGTTGCCATTATCGTTGCTTTCATCCCGGCCGCCATCATCGTGGCCCTCGTCGTGTCCATTACCATCGTTATCATCGCTGCCCTCACCTACTTTTCAAGATCGCCATCACCACCCACATCATCATCATCATCATCATCATCATCATCATCATCATCATCATCATCATCATCATCATCATCATCGTCATCATCATCACGGCCACGCCCTCATGACCTTTTCTTCTGTCGTTGCCCGCTCTTCCTGTCAAGTCGTATGCAAGCTTGTGGTGGTGATTATGGAGATGGCGATGATGAAGATGCTGATGTCGCTGACGATGGTTACCATTGTTGTAAGGGTGCTGGTGATGGTGGTCATGATGACAGTGCTGCTGCTGATGATGATGATGATGATGCCGATGACTATGACGATGATCATGATGGTGGTGATGGTGATGGTGGTGGTGACGGCGATCATGGTTGTGCTGGTGGTGGTGATGGTGGTGATGGAGATTGGGACGATGGCGAGGATGACGGTGGTTATGGTGGTGTAAACGGGAAGGGACGGGAGCGGCCACGCAATATGACAAAATTTCTCGGCTTGGCCGGCGCGACCGACGCGGGAACAACCAAGACCAGGATGTCGTCGACCGCGTCTGAGGGGCGCTCCGCCGCGACCGACCGCTGCCGATATCTACGATATGGTCGCGGCTGTTTGTCGGGGGGAGCGCGTGTTCCCCCCTCATATTTGTTTAACACATGAATTTCTTGGGCTCAGGGAGACGTCCATAAAACAGCTCAGAGCAGCGCCCAGACGGCACAGTAAGGTCCCAGGATAATTCCCTTCCTATATTGAGTTGTTCCACGCTTGCTTGTGCATTATGTAGGTGTGTTCTTTTTTGTATGTGGGAGTTCGTGCTCCTATGGCCCCTACGAGTCCACAAATACGATGCACTGACCCGAGGAAGGAGGTGGAAGGCCAAACACGTTGATTTCGGTTTCCCATCTAGGGTAGACCCCATCCGAGGTATCCTACGCCCGTTCCTGACATCTCCTCGCCCTGCGAGACGGCCCCCGTAGCGACAAGAGGCCCCCAAACGCCCCCAGTATGGCTCGAAGAAGATTGGCTGACCCATGGCGGCCGCAGCTTCGTTCCCAAGATGGTCTCAGGGGCACGGGGCCCCTTCCATGGATGGTCTCTTGTTTTGTTCATCACCTGCAGGCCCAGAAAGAGTCTTACAACGGAATTCTTTGGCTCAGGCTTGCGAGGGCGCACAGGCCCTTCAGAGGGCCCAAGAGCGTACCAAGAGGCCCCAATAAGCAGACTCAGCGGTACCAGACAATGCCCCGAGGACCCCTGAAGAGCCCCAAAGGGTTCAAGAGGGCGTGGCGACGCCTTAACATACAGTCACAAATGGCCCCAAGAACCCAAGACAGCTTCTATGGTTACTGTCGGAGTTATTTCAAGCGTCCTGTAAGCTCGCTCTGAGCAGCTTTGAAACACCAGGCTCGTGCTGTATGCTTTTGCGGGCCTCTCTCAGTTGGGTCATCCTTTCTCTCCTTCGTGGGACGTTCGTTTCGGAGGTGATCGGCTGGGACCTTCGCGCGCGGAGCGCGCACGGAGAGAGCTTCCAGCGGGGGCCAAGAGATCTCCAAGACAGCCTGGAAGAGCGCCAGGACGGCCCAAACGAGATTTTGACAACCCCCTTTATATACGCCCATGAAGCCCAGAGCAGGACGCCACGATGCCCTCAAGATGCCCCCAAGACGGCCCAAGAGAGGTGCCCAAGACGGCCTTCAAAGAGTCCAAGAGAACCTCCGGCGCCGACGTGTGGGCAGTTTGGGCAGCGTGTGGGACCTCTGTAAGCTTCAAGAGCCCTCCAAGAGAGCCAAGAGGACGCCCAAATGGACTCCGAGGATCCCAGAAGGCTTTCGACAGAACCCCCGTACCAACATGACCCAAGACGTACCCAATCCCTTCTCCACGCGAGGCAAGTCCTTGATTGAACACTCCATACAAAGAACACGTCGCCAGATATGCACGATCTGCGCAGCCATCACCTCCGCCCCGCCTCCCAGGAGCCCGCAGAAGCGACGTCATCTGCACACTCCGCATCCCCCGAGGGAGCCGCGAAGTCTCACATGGATTTGAGTTGCCCTCACCTCCGCCGCGCCCCCCAGGAACCCGCGAAAGTGGCATGGGTTGCGCACTTCGCAGCCCCCGAGGGAGCCCCGAGGTATCGGCTTGGTCTGCGTGGCCCTCGATTCCACTGGAACTCCCAGGAGCCCACGAGAGTGGCGACGGTTGCGCAGTTCGCAGCCTCCGAGAGAGCCATGGGGTCTCAAATGGATCTGCGCTGCCCTCACCCCGCCGTGCCTCCCAGGAGCTTACGAAAGTGGTGCGAGTTGTGAAATTCGCAGCCCCAGTGGGTGCCGCGAGGTCTCAAATGGATCTGCGCTGCCATCACCTCCGCCGCGCCTCCCAGGGGCCTGCGAAAATGGAAACGGTTGCCCACTTCGCAAACGCTCCCCGAGGGAGCCGCGAGGTATCGGCTTGGTCTGCGTGGCCCTCGATTCTACTAGGACTTCCAGGAGCCCACGGAAGTGGCGACAGTTGCGCAGTTCTCAGAGATGCCAAGAGGGACCCCCAACAGCGAAAACAATTGACTGCTTGAGGGTATCTGGATGCGGGGAACCCAATGAAAGCGACCGGCGAACCCAAGAACCCAAATCTGGGCACCCGAGAAAGGAAGGCATGGCGCAAGACGAGGGAGCAAGACCAGTGAACCCGAGTAAAGGCTGAAGGAATTCAAATCAGGCATCAGAACAGTACCGGGGGCCACCTTTGAAGTGGCACCCCGCACCCACCCGAGTGATCAGAAAGCAAAATCCTAGCCCCATAGGCAAAGCCTCATTGTGGAATCGACGGTCAGAAACTTCGGGTTAGCGTGTCGCTCCGCCGGTTCTGGCCCACCACGCTATCCACTTCCCAGTCCCCCAGCGTCAACGTCCCGTGCTTTTATCGACCCCCCACCCCGCGAAGCCGAGCGACGCGTTATCCATCCGCACGGCATAGCGTGTCGCCTGGGCCGCCGTGGCGACACGCTATCCAAAAGTTCCCGATCGTACTTCAGCACAGAAAACCTTCACGGCGACGGCCGGGACGGCGACGTCAATCAGGAGCCCTGCCTCCTGGCGCTTGAAATGATGAAGTTCGGCATCCTTTCGGGCGAGCCCTTCGACGCCGCCCAGGCGTGGCTCGCCGCCGTCTCCGTAATTGTCGTCGTTGTCGTCGGCATCGATGTCCTTCTTTGCCGTGGCATTCTCTTCGTCTTCACCAGTGCCCTCCGCCTCCTCGTCCTCGAACTTGTGTTCATCCTTGCCAGTCCCCGCTTCCTCGTCCTTGTCGTCCCCCCTTCGTCCTCCTCCGACTCCTCCTCCTCCTCCTCCTCCTCCTCCTCCTCCTTCTTGTCCTCGCCGTCCACATCTGCATCCATAGCCCAGTCCCTGCACGTTTGCACGTGGTTGGTTGCTGGGATTGTGTTCTCGCGTCGTTGTCATAGATTTTTGGGCGGTTCTCGGGGGATCGGATAGGATACTTAGGATAATGAGGGTACTGATTAGACCGAATCTCGAGAGAAACGCTCGGCTGAACGGCCGAAAAGAGAATGCTCAATCATCCTCTTGGGGGAGCTCGAAGGGTGAGGCCTCTGCGCTGACTCCCTTGAGCCATGCGGCAAACTCAACCACCTCAGAGCAAAACTGCGGAGGTAGGCCACATCAGAATCAAAGAGCTGGGGTAGCCGAAGACCGCACGACTGCGCCTACACAGTGGCAGAGGATGGGAGGCGCAGGAGTCGGAGGAGGAGCCGGCAATGAGCAGCACAAGGCCTATGAGGAGAAGGAGGAAGAGGGCGAGAGAGGCGTACTTGGGAGAACAAGCGGGAACAGCTCGAGGAGAATGACAGAAATGGCGGGTCCGTTTCAAAGCCATCCCCATCCCCCACCACACTCCGCCGCCGATGTTCCTCTTCAGGCTCGGGCGGTCCGCTTGGGAGCCCTCCGCTGGCTGTAGCCTCGTAGCCTTGGGACCCTCTTGCGCCTCCTGCATCCCTCCTCGCCCTTCTCCCTCCCCCCCTCCTCTCCTCCCTCCCCCCTCTCTTTCTCCCTTCTCTCTCTCTCTCTCTTTCTCCCTTCCCCTGCTCCCCCGACGTTCCTCTTCGCGTTCGAGCGGCTCCTCCTCCCCGTGCTCGGCCTCCTCCCTCGCCCCACCTCCCCTGCAAGCCCGAGCGCGTGGACCGGGATCTCGAGGCGGATTCGGTCCTGGCGGCGATGCCCTCCCCACCCCTCCAGAGGGCCAAGGGCACAGGAGGACGTCAAGAGTCTCGCCTCTCACCCCTTCCCCTCTTCCCGAAGCAGAGACACTCTGAGGTCAACGCGGATTGCTTGCGTCGGCATTGCACCTCCCTGCCCGCGTTTCCAGCACCGCATCTGGCGCGCTTCGCGCGCCTCGGGAGGGGGTCCATCGCCGACCGAAGCAACCTGCCGAAACGTATGTCTGCTGTTCCGTTGCTTGTTCCTCGTGGTTTCTCCTCCTCCTCCTCCTCCGTAGTCATGCGGGCTCAAGTCGCCATGCCACCCATCGGCGGGGTGATGACCGCTGGTCCGCGGACAGGCCCCTCTTCGCGCGTAGCCATGTTGCCCTCGGCGCGCACGGCGGTCGGCCGATGCCCGTGGAGGCATTGGTTTGCAAGACGGGCGCGAGGAAGAAGTGCTGGAAGAAGACCAGGGCGACCCACATCAGGCCCCCTGCGGGTGGCGAGTGTGATGCCGAGGATCCTCCTGATGGCGATGCCGCCCCAGCTGGTGCCCGCGCTGCTGATCACGTCGCTGGCGCTGACGCTCATCCTGCTTCTGGCGGCTCCGCAGGTGACGCTATGAATGGCCCTGGGACGAAGATGATAAATCGCGTGATGAATATGTTCGGCTCGTGGGTTAAGAAACCTACAAAGTTTCTCAAGGACCACAAGAAGGCCATGCTTGATACCATCACCGCCTCAGTCGTCTCCGCCGTCAACCCCGAGCAGCTCGAGGCGCACGGCAACAGCGCTGGCACTCTGGCGGCGGGAGTGCGGGACATTCCCACGATGGTGGATGATGTTGCCTCTAAGCGTATTGATTTCAACACCGGAAGTTGCAGAAATAGCTTCGTGGACTCCACATACGCATGCGGGCCGCTGAGTCTCTGTTCGATGATCATGATTATTCCACCGCCTGCCTTTATTGCCGAGGCCCAGAAGCTCAACGACCTCGTCGTGGCGGACCGACCCGTGCATCATACGCGTCATGATTGCTAATCTCACCCAACCCGAGAATGTCGAGAAGGTCAGATCGGACTGGATCACCAAGTTCGGTGTCGCTGCGGACAATTTCCACATCAGTGCCGCCGAGGATGTCCATCGAAACTTTACGGTCGAGTTCGGAGGGGCCGCGGATCCCGCTACCCGCCGCGTTGCCAAAACTCTGGGAGCACAACGTTTTGGCCCTGGACATTGGAACGTTTCGGAAACAAGGCATATGATGGTCAGGTTACCTCGCTGCATACCTGCCCCGGCAAGACCTTCAAGACCACCGACAGCTCCAAGTTCATGTTCGTTGGCAAGGATCGGGGCTACATCATGGCTGGTTGGGAACCCGTTCTCAGGGTCAGCCCTCACCCGGGCAATTTTCCGCCGTCGTTTCACTCGGCCGGCAACCTCATTGCCAACCTGCAGCTGCCCAAGCAGGCGCTCCATGCTGCGGCCACGGCTATCGTGGCACCCCCAAAGAATCCCGCATGGAGTCTTTAGCCCGCTGCGCCGTCTTACTCGCGGAGAACGCTGTTCAACTGCGGCACTTCATGTGGGAAGCGTTTTGTGACCTACGCGTCTCCTTCACCCACTGCGACGACCCGTTGGTTACAGGAGGCGTTGCTTCCATCGTTCCCTCGGGATGTCGTGCGCGCGCTGCACCCGCCGAGGCGGTGCCGGGTCGCGTCCTTCGACTCCAATGTGCATGCGTGGGTCACCAGATTCTCCATTGCAATCGGCACAACCGTTCTCTCTTTCCTGATCAGATGCGTCGAATTGAGGTGGCTCTCTCGGCTGACTCCAAGACGGCGCTCGACGACCCGACCAATTGCGCCATCGTAGTCTGCCGGCGGTGTCAGCGTTTTCACGCATGTCCATTTCTCCTCCACCTACGTAGGCGAAAGATGACGGCTGGCCAAGGGGCAACGTGCTCAAGCGGCTCGATGGCTGGAGACGCTGGCGCCGCTCACCGAGATTTCTTCGGGCGACGTCGCCCACTTCGATGCCGGTGCCCACTCCGTCTCGGTGATCGACATGTTTTTGGTCCGCCTTCCTGTCTGGGCATTATGTCAGGTCGCTGTTGTCCCACGAGTGGTTGGCCTCCCCGAAGCCCTTGCCGAGACGGAAGTGAGCGACCACTCAGCCCGCGTCTGCTCTACTGCTCCGAGAGCGGAGACGCCCACCGACTACCAGTAGATCCCGCGGCACATCTTCACGTCGAAGGCCCCTCAGGAGTTGCTTCTCACTGTCACGGTCAAGCTGAACTTTCAAGATCACTCGCGCCCGCGCCAGCATGAGCTGTTCAAGTGGGCTGTCCAAGTCGCTCGTGCAATTCGGGATCGATTCCTTCGGGGTGAACCCCAGGACGTGGGATCTCAGCTGCGCGGTCATAGGATTGCTCGTCAGATAGCCCGCGCGGTCTGGTACGATGATGCGGCGCCCGCGGCTCGTCTTCATGAACGCCGTCAGGCGGCTGCCGGATTTCTGTCGATCTAGATTGGCGCGGCCTTGCTCGTGCGCGCGCTGTCGTTTCGGCGACGGAGCGACCATATGCGGCGACGTCGCGCGGACCTTCGTCGTCAACCGTTGGAGGCCGGCCTTGCTGAACGCGGCCGCTGCGAGCGCTGCTGGCCCCAGTCCCCGCGGCGCATCTGGCGCTGTTCCCAGCCGGCCAGTCTCCCGGACACAGGGCAGCGCAGGACAATCAAGTGCGCCGTCCAATCCATTCACCATGCGGGGCGTCGCAAGCAACGAGAGGCCGGAGACCGCGGTTACTACTGGTCGCGGACGGGATGCCGCTTCTGAAATCAAAAAGATCTACAGTTTCTGGTGGAATCACGGAAGACAGGCGATCGTTCCGTCGATTTCCATCGGAAGGGTCTCCAGTGGAGCCACTCTCCCCAACACCTGGGCAACTGACGTCAAGGAGGACGTCGCCAGACTCGCCCGGATGAGTCGAGTTGAAACGCGTGCCAAGTTTGACCCCGACTACGACGGAATGAGCAAGTCGCGCAGGGACTTGAAAGCCAAGCGCACCTGCGCCTGAGACGTTTGCCTGGAACTGGTGGCATCAGCGAGGCGACACATGTTCATTCAGGATTACAAACTGGAGGACTGGATCGAAGAGAGCGAAGCCACGGAGAACTACGTGGTCAGCTGGAACACCGAGTGGCAGCTGACAGCAGATTGCGGGGGGGAAGGAGCACGAGCGGTGCTGCTGTCACACAAGGACCCAACACCGACGAAATCGCCTGTCTCCGCGCGGTCTTCCCACGCTTCCCCGGGCGGGTCATCTCAGACGACGGGCGGGGGCTCCATCCGCATTGTCGCGCCTACCCAACCAATGGCTTTCTGGTCAAGCACGACAAGGTCGACGGGCCACTGCACTGCGCCTCCGCTGTAGCGCCCCTGCCTGAAAAGACAGGTGCGCCTCGCTACCGCGTCGACGTCGCGCCCAGTGCGATCCAGCGCGAAAGAAGTCAAAACCGCCCCGACGAACATGCGCCACTCCAGCGTGCACCGGGGCGATCTACGCGGGGCCACGCTTGCTGCGCTGCCACGCACGCTGGCCTTTGCGACAGACGACAACGGGAAGAAACAAAGTTCCAACGACACCTACAGGGACGCACTACGCGGGCGCTTTCTGCGCCCCCGAAGTCGTGCAACGCTCGGAGGCCAGTTGCTCGATCCTGACCAGTTTGGCGACCCGGTGAGCAGGCCCGGGCGCGTTGGGACCGATCGCGGACGCTGACGTAGACGAACGCCCAGGCTCGGAGCGGCAGCCCGCCAAAAACGCGCCCGCTGAGGACACCATCAAAGGGATCAGTGCAGCGCGTGACCTCACCGATGACCACGCGCAGGCACTCCGCTCATCCGTCAAACCTCTCGTCGCGGCGGTACAGA